TTTGAACCCCCCCCTCAGAACTTACGAACTGTATGTCGTATGACCACCAAATTTTCAGAGGATGGTGTACTAGTAAAAATTTATCATATCTAAAATTTTTATGTCGTTTTGACGTAATATGACGTCATTACTTGAATTTTCAAAAATAGTTTTTTTTCATGATAAAGCCTGAAATACACTGCAAACATACTAAAGACCTTCATTTAAACCTTTTTCGGAAAAAGAAATGGAAGTATTGATGAAATTTTAATGAAAATAACCTGTATATACCTGTTCTAATGATATGGTCCGCCATCGTGGATTTTGGCCAGTGACGTCATCAAATTAGCATAAATTATGCAAATTTAATGATAAAATTTACATAAAATTATATGGGATGTTATTAATATTAGAAACCATGAGTAACGACATAAAACCCATAAAATTCTATTGTTGAAACAAAAATTACTAAATTTAGCAAAAAATGCCTGTCAGAAACCCGTTGCCATGGCAACACAAAAAATTACTATCTTATTCCAAAGATAGAAAATTGTTGCCAACAATATTCTAGGAAAAGTCACCAAGTTTGGCCGTTCTAAGGCTAAGCCGTTTAGACTCTAGGTGACATCAAAGTTGGCGCGGGCACTTTTAGCCCCCCCCCCCCCGGTCTAGGTAGGGTTAATGTAGCAAGTGGCTGACCACCATATATATGAATGTGATTGAGTAGGAACAAACAGAGTAGTAGTTTGTTGGGCAAGACCATGTGAAGTATGCATTTGCTTTGCAAATGTTCCAATGTTTTCAAGTTCTTTTGTGTTATGTATCTTATTGTGGGTTTATTTTGATGTTCTTTCACCAGCTACAAGCAGTTTTATACAGAACTCCTCAAAGCATTCACGAAACAACTTAGAAGATAATTAAGTTGGGTTCTAAGACAATGATAAAGCCACAGAAAGTAAATTTTATGGATGACATCCTCTGCAGACTCCAAATCTAATGCGAGCGGGCGAAAAAAAACAAGGCGGGCCAAAAAAACAAGGTTCCTACATTATAAAATTTTGACTCAATCATTGTACGAATGGCTTTTATTCGGTGGGAACATCACGTATACACAGCCATCATCACATATCATTGCATCAAAGTAAGAAACAAAACATTAAATCAGAGCCTTTTCTTGTCTCCCCTCGTCATAGTTATCTGCCATCCACCTTCCGGCATGGCAACAGACATCTTTGCCCATTTTCGGCATGTTGACCACTGTCAGAAGGCAACAAAATTTCTTGTTTTTTTTTTTCAAAATCAGGCGAAAATTAATGCGCGCGCTGATGTCATCCATAAAAATTACTTGCTGTGGCCTAATAAGACAAACAAAAGGACTGAATACGAGTTCTAGAAGCAGAAGTAACAGCATTGTTTTCTTCATGTAGTGCCATTGATCTATTATGTAATTTCATCATGTGTGTTCTGAAGTATGTTTTAAAAATTAATCATGGTACATGGAAAACTGATTGAAGTCTTTATGCACACCACTGAGGCCACACCAATTTAATTTCTTGGTTAACGGACTCGCCCGCTTCATTTTTTTCTGATTTGCAAATAAAAATAAAAATTCAGAATCAACTGCAAAATATTTTGCCCTGAACAGTTGAAAACAGTCCTTTTCATCCTAGTTGTTACAGTTAATCCATCTTTCAATGCAATGGTATCATTAAAATTTTAAAATTTATTGTTTAAATTTTGAACCAGCTTGGTGTGTTGACTTCATGGCTCCTATCGTACCATTTTGGGCCATAATAGGATGCCTTAGGCCTGTTTTTATTTCTTTTAATTTTTTCGCCCACCCACTCCATTGTTTTTCTAGAAAAATCCGTTAACCAAGAAATTAAATTGGTGTGGCCTGAGGTCACCTTTTTACGAAACAGCCATCGCCGAGGGACCAAAATTCTAATTTATATCTCTAAATTATTAAAATCTACATGGCCCTTGATTTTTTGGAATACAAGACACCATGCAAAAGTGTTTCAAACGGAAAATGAACACCAAAAATGTAAAAAATCTTCCTTGTCTATGAAATTCACTCAGCGATCTGTCAAATATGGCCGCTCTGCCTCTTGTGAAAGGGGGTGTAATGTACAAGGTATGGAGTACGTAAGTATAGTTGGCAAGTTTGTCATTTTTACAATTATGATCATTGACAAAATTTTACCAGGAAAAATGTATCAAATTAAAAAAAGGTAGACGTTCTTTTCCCTTTATTATATATACTTCAAATCCTTTGAATACATGAATGAAATCAACTGAAAACTTTGTGCAAAAAGACTCAAATTGCAAGAGTAATGTAATGGTGATTGAAATGAAAATAAAGTATTGCATGGTACCATGAGAAAAACGTTCCGAAAGCTGATTTACTTGTGACTACCTTGTATGCAATAGGAATCGCGGAAGGTACTGCAACATTACCATGCAGTAAACCACCTTAGCCATGTTGATTTGATTATATGGATGACATCC